GGTGTGATGATAGTTTGAAGTGAGAAGTCAACTGCCCGTTAATAGACTTTTTGCCGTATGAGTAAACGTTGCCCAGGGTGCACCACGTGGAGGTAAGTCTATCGCACACCCCCCTTTAATAAACTTCAATCTGTCCTTAAGGGTCTGCCCAATTAGCTTACTTTAAAACTTCCCTTAAGGTGCCATATTTCAAGGAAAACTAGAGTAATAGCTAAAAGGTAACAAAAAAATCGATTAGAACTGAAAATTTTGGGCAAAAAATAATCAAAAATATTCATTCCTTTCTTCAACGACACATACATTTCTACCTCAAGAGAATTCATGCGCAAAGGTGAGGAGTCGTTTACATTCAAACAAACTAATGCTCTTGCGCCACTGTCAGGAATACTGCTGTTCAAATGTAATGACCAATAATATCATAGCAATGTTAATCACCTAATTAATACGCAATTCTTACGTATTTGGAATTAGATTTGTGCGTATCGGACTGCTACAAGGATTAGATTGGACTTATAAATGGTAGTATCTATGGCCAAATCCCCTCAACACTATAGGGAAACAGACGAATGACGTTAAAACGTTCATTTGAGCTGTTATGTCTGTCACAGAGCTTTGTCATTGATATACCAAGAAGGCTTTGTTAAACAAAGCAGGTAATATCGATTGATGGCTGGTTGAGAGGTCTCTGTGCTCACGACCGCGACAAGTTATGGGATTCGCAACTTCGAGTCTGTCTGGAATGAAATGTCTCAATTCATTTTTGATGATTATGAAAAAAAACTTCCATAATGATTTTAAAAATAGTTGAAACAGGTTTTCCCGACAGGCTTTTTGGTAGTCTTAAGACATTGAGTTGAGAAGGTGGGCACGTTTAGAGATTTAAATTTGCAAAGAAAGATTTTTCTAACCACCAGGGAATAAAGGAAAGCATTTTACCTGGAAAACAAAGTTGACGATAAACCGAAATTTTCAGTTAGTAAATATTTTACACAAAATAAATGAGCAGTTTTTTATTGGCTCAAGACACGATTACCTTCATTGATTGTAGCAAAGCTAATGTAACAATTAAAAGTTTAGTGATTGAACTTGTCATTGAAAAATAAACAATTGATTTCATTTTTTGTCGCGAAATAATGAATAACTTTGTGATTTGTATGTGCACATCAGAAAAATGTGGAATCAATTTATACTATTAAGATAGCCTCCGAGATAAATGAACAAAAAACTACTTATAACACAATGGAAATAAAAATTTTTGGTTAAAGTTTGTCTCCATTTAAGATGGCTAATTACCAGAAAGTGTATTACCACTAACACACGTGCGCAGACTTGAAAAATTCATAATTCCCACTTCATATCTTAAGCAAGGATGAGTCGAAGAGGTCTCAGACAAATGCCATGGCTTCAAGTAGAACAAAGATTGACCAGTTTTTTTGTAACTTCATTCTTGTCTTTAAAGCTTCCGTAATAGCATACACAGACACAACTGATAGATCACTCAAGATAAGGTCAGAAGCAAGACAGGTTACTTGTCAACCCTTCAATTGGTGAATTTTGAGATCAGAGCTAACAAAATGTGTTCCCACTACGCTAAATTTGGTGGGGTGTGTGATAGATTTACCTCCATGTGGTGCACCCTGGGCAACGTATACTCATACGGCAAAAAAGTCTATTAACCGGCAGTTGACTTCTGACTCCAAACCACCATCACCCCACTATATGTCATATTCGACTTCTTTCACAGTACTCACCTCACCTTTTTCTACCTATGTGTCCCTCTTTTATATCTTTGAATCACTCTTCTGTCTCCCCCCCAAGACTTTTTTTCATTTTGATGTTCCTTCCCCTCTGTGAAGCCTGAAGTCAACTAAAGGGCTAATGATAACTATCAAAATGCCGGCCATTTGATATAAATAAATAACGCTAAATTTGGTAATCTGTTCAGAGCATAATGGCTTGTTAGTCTGTTTATGGGGATTCTACGCTATGTATATAAATTAACAGTATTCATAAAACGTAGTACTAATTTTCCAATTAGATGATCAAGTGATTTTTGCTTTCGGAACACATTTCAAATTCACCATAGAGCCATATATATGTAAATTTGTTCTCAATTATTTTCACTTGAAACGCGTTACAATTCACAAATTAGCATTAATGACGCTCTGTAGACTTTTTGCCCTAATTTGACTTAACAAGATCATAAAAATGTTATCGAATTAGTGATATGACATATTTTTAGAGATTTTACTCTGGTTTTATTGGCAGGTTGCTTTAAGTCCTGTCCAAGCCGCCCTATTCTAAATATTTATTTATATCAAAAGGTAGATTTAATGGTAGTTATCATTAACCATTTAATTGACTTCGGGCTTCATAGTGGGAGAAACATCAAAATCACATATGGTCGAGAGGGGGAACAGAAATGTGATTCGCAGTTGCAAAAAAGGACAGACAGACGCAAAGGTAGAGAGAGAAAAAGGTAAGGTGAGTACTGTTGAAGTGATGGAATGCGACATACAGTGGGGCCATGGTTGTCTGAAGTCAGAAGTCCACTACCGATTTATAGACTTGATCATGGTAGTTTGAAGTCAACTGCCAGGTAATAGACTTTAGTTTGAAGTGAGAAGTCAACTGCCGATTGATAGACTTTTATTTGAAGTCAGAAGTCAACTGCCAGTTAATAGACCTTTTCAGTCAGAAGTCAACTGCCGGTTTATAGACTTTTTTGCCGTTTGAGTAGTCAGAAGTCAACTGCCGGTTAATAGACTTTTTTGTGAAGTGAGAAGTCAACTGCCAGTTAATAGACCTTTTTGCGTTGAAGTCAGAAGTCAACTGCCGGTTAATAGAATTTTTTTGCCGATAGTTTGAAGTCAACTGCCGGTTTATAGACTTCGAATATGACATAGAGAAGTCAACTGCCAGTTAATAGATCATGGTAATTGAAGTCAGAAGTCAACTGCCGATTAATAGACTTGGGGTCATGATAGTTTGAACTCAGAAGTCAACTGCCAGTTAATAGACTTACTCATGGTAGTTTGAAGTCAACTGCCAGGTAATAGACTTTAGTTTGAAGTGAGAAGTCAACTGCCGATTGATAGACTTTTATTTGAAGTCAGAAGTCAACTGCCAGTTAATAGACCTTTTCAGTCAGAAGTCAACTGCCGGTTTATAGACTTTTTTGCCGTTTGAGTAGTCAGAAGTCCACTACCGATTTATAGACTTGATTGTCGTATGAGTATACGTTGCCCAGGGTGCACCACGTGGAGGTGTGTCTATCACCCATCCCATGGAAATATAATCGCACACAAGTTGTCCCATGCTTTCTACACGTTCTGGTCTACTGTTTTACACTTTATCTGATTTCCTGAGACCTCAGAATGGAGAAAAGGGGCTAGTGTCAGCTTATACACCTCCCCCCCCCCCCCANCAAACCCTCCCACCCTCCCTACTAAGATCAAAATTTAGTTAACGAAGCCATGAAAAGATAAAGCGGAAATAATCTTTTTTATAGCCCCGCATTATGACCCAAGGCACACTCACATATACTGAATGAACATTGAGGGCTTTTATATACTTATAAAACTACAACCATTAGCCAATGTTTATTTATTTATTTATTTCAAATGGCAGGCGTTTCGATAGTTATCATTAGACCTTTAGCTGACTTCGGGCTTCACAGGGGGAAGGAACATCAAAGTAACAGAAAGTCGAGGGGTGGGGAACAGAAGAGTGATTTACAGATGTAAAGAGACAGACATGAAGGCAGAGAAAAGGTAGGATGAGTACTGCGCCAGAAGTCAATCGCCAGTTAATAGACTTTTTCGCCGTATAAGTATACGTTGCCCAGGATGCACCACGTGGAGGTAAGTCTATCACGCACCCCCCATTAGCCAATGTTAAGTGCAATAAAATTGCGCCATATTCTTCAGGTGTTACCACTGCTCAAAAGGATGATAATGTAAAATGCATACAAGTATTCACTAATAATGAATTTTGTAGACAAGTACAATGTGCAATGCGGCAAATCAAGCTCTCCAATATAATTCCCATTTTGAAATGTTTCAAAATCGATATTTTGTCATAATTATTACCAAAGTAACGCACAGGGTAACATTTTCCTGAAATCTACCTCACAGAGAACACCGATTTGCCGCAGATCAAGTAAATTAGGACCCAAATTGCCTTGTTAAAATAACCTAGACGGGGGATAGTGTGTTTTAATGCATTACAATTGCCGGGCATGTTTGAAAATCTATCCCCCCCCCACTTAGCTGCAGGATTGTTCGTTCTGTGATTTCCTCTCACTCGGTTGTCTGGATATTTCATTCGCAATGATTGGCTGGATAACAAGCATGGGCAAAGAATTACCTCTGTTATTTGATGAAGGTAAATTTACCTTATTGGGAGATCTAAGACCAATTAAAAAAGAAACAATTGCGAATGGCAATTTTCCTGTGCATGAATTTGCCCAGTTTTGACGCGTCGCAACCAAAACCCCATTGAGAAAGAAAAAAACGGAAACGTTTCAAGTGTATAGAGGGGTTTTACGAAAAATGTGACTAATTCGTGAACTCATTTGTTAGGAAAAAAAGGCGTGAATAAGTAAATATCTGATAAAAAAGGGCAAAATGTCCTTAATTTGTAGTTTATGGGAGTTTCACTAGATCTCACCAAGAGCACATTCATTACTTTACTCACTGTATTAAGGACTTTCCAAGATAAACACAACCGTAATTCAAAAATAGAAATTACGAGACATTTTTTATAGCCAATTACTGATTGGTTTTTAATACACCAACCAGAAGAGAGGTAACCGCACGCCCCTGTACAGCCGCACTTCCTTCAAGGCTAAATCTACACTTCATTGTGATTGGTAGGGCGATTAGGAGTGCAGATTGTACGCATCTGGTAGTTGTCTTGCTCCCATCATCTTACGGTTGTGTGTGTCTAACAGTAGATTACATACATAAGAGTAGAGAATCTTAGCACATCTCTAGAACATGACGAGATCCAAACAGGAAATCGAAATAGAATCAGAGAGTGGAGCTGATCTTCCTAAAGGTGAAATCATGGCTATCGACCCAGAGATGGAAGGTAGGGGAAAGTGGAAGCGAAATATCGATTTTCTATTCGCTTGTCTCGGATTCTCGGTCGGTTTTGGAAATGTCTGGCGGTTTCCGTATCTTTGTTTTAAAAATGGAGGAGGTAAGTAAACTCTCTAATCTAGTTGGCCCTCAAGGTGGCCATAAATCTTCTAGTTCAATTACAATATAACATTAGGCCAACTTCCTCTAATTATTCAAAATAATGCAAAGCGAAAATTTCAATTTTTTTATTGAGCAAATATAATTTGTTAATATAGTCTTTTTTTGTAAAATTATTATTCATTTCTTCCAATTCCTCGCCCTTAAAGCAACACATCCAAACGCCTGACCTTTGGAATAACTATGATTCGTTTCTAAGGCCCTATGAGGGGTCCTTCTAAGTTTCGAGGGGTAACATGACTTCAGATATATATTTATATCAAATAGCAGGCCTTTTGATAGTCATCATTAGACCTTTAGTTGGCTTCAGACTTCACAGGGAGGAAGGAACATCAAAGCGATAAAAGTC